ATCTTGCTTTAAACAGGTTTAAAAAAGTCCTGTCTGACAAAAGATTTTATTTATTAACAAAAATAAGCATACAAAATATTTATAAACATTTGATAAAATTACAAAAGCTTTGAATTTGAAATCTTACTTACATAGCAGATAAACAAATATAAGACTTTTAATAGCTTAATTTTTATTTTGTAATATAAATTGTAACGTTTTATGTCTTTACACAATTTTTTTTTTATATTTTAAAACTTTTTTAATATGAATTCTTTTCTCTTGATGTGTAAAATGTATCTTTGAATAGAGAGAAAATTGATGATCATGAAATCCAGTACATAATTGTCTAGCAATTGCTTCAATATAAAATTGACAAAATTAAGTTAATTTAATATAGTCAATTTAGTTCACTAACTAATTTGGAAATGTCGGCTATAATTCTACGTCAGCAAGTTGTTGTTCTATTCTGTACTTTGGAATATCTCCTTAAAATTAATATCTTGCCAGTTAAGTTGTAAAGGCACAAATTGCCAAATCTACAAATATTGATTGTTGTTAACTAATGACTCTTAAGTAAACAGTTGTGTTTCTATGATCAGTAGAGAAGTATGAGAGATAATATGACTTAAACAATATTTGTTTTCCTGTCAGAATTAATTTTATGTCGAGATTACTTGCTGAAACATATATTGGAATTTATGAATATCAATTATTATAAAGAGTTGATGTGGAATTAGTCAAGCAGATTTTAATTATACAGATTATATTCTATTCAATAAAATAATAAAATAAATGTAAAAAAATCAGACAAGTATACCTTTTCTAATTCATAATTTCCCATGAACAACAAATAGATGAAATGCAAGTTCTACACACATCAAGTTTGAAAATGAAAGCATATTCCAGTTTAATTACAGAATTTAACAGCTTCATTCCCATTGGAATTAAACAGAAAATAAATAAATAAAACAAAAATGCATAATACTTTCTAGAGGTCAGGATGGAAATATTTTAATCAGAATTATCATTAAAAATATTTAAGTTAAATCTTTTAATAATTTATTTTGTTGAAATTTTATATCTCTAAGAATTTGATTCTGGAATTCTGAATTCCATCCACATTTATTCTGATTAAAATATATTTCCATCCTGACTTCTGTTTTTTCCAAATATAGTGCCAAATATATCAAAATAAATGAACTATTTAGTAAAAATTTAATCTTATCTTCCTATTAAGATAACAAAAACAAATTTATTAAAACAGCATTATCCTCTAATTAATTGATTAACTTATATATAATTTTTACAAATGTAAAAATTGCTTTTTAATTTTTATATAAAAGAATTTTTACTTTTTTAGATGTTCTTATCCTGTTACATCAAAAGATGATTGTCAAAGCTTCCAAAATATATTACAATCATTTAATTTCTTAATTAAAGATATTTATGTCAAATTAAATATTTCTTAGTTTATACTTAAAATATTTATATTTTGCTTAATTTCTTCTCATGAAAATTTATATTTGATTTGCCATACAATATATACTATGTATTATTTTCTCTGCAAAATTTTCTTTTGCATATAAGATAAGAAGTATTTTCTGAGATGTAAGAAACTTTTGCATCTGTTTCAAATTCAGAAGTTAAAAAAATTCAGATTGTAAAATATTCAGTTTTTAATTTTTCAGAGAAAATATAGCTACAGAAATTGAAGATGAAACCTAGATCTTTCAAAACATTTTTCATGAATATTAAAGTTGAGCTTCTGATATGCATTATCTCTTCATCCCTTATAAAAAAAGTTATGTAATCTGTCAGATTATATAAAAATAAAAATTTCTTAATTAAAATTTTATTTAAGATATATAGAATTGATGATTGTATTGTACCGGTACAATTTACTGTTTTTTTTCTTTCTTTCAATTTTAAAGATTAAATTTGAACAAATAATTTTTCTTTAATGTATTTTAATAAAGTTATATTTTATGATAAATTATATTTTTTGTCATATTTTTTAAATTGTGTGTATACATAAGCATTTAAAGATTATATTTTTTATCATATAAAATGGCAGATTAGAGTTAATAAAATTATATATAAAATTATTATTTTATTAATTTTTAATCTCTTTAGAATTAATTTGTCTTAATACAAAAGAATTATAATTTTATTGAAAGGCTTTTATATTTTATCTTCTTATTAATTTAACAGATATTTAAAATTTTATTTGTAAAAGATATAAATATTTTTAATAGATATATTACAAAATGGGTATGATTTATAAATGTTTTTATTAGGATTTTTAAAGTGCAAATCAATTTCACTAGGAAATAAAAAAGGGTTGTTAAAATTACATTTATTCAATTTAAGTTTATATATATTTCAATGGTTTTCATAATACTTTTTATAATAGCAATATTTTTAATTGGACAGGGAAGAAGTCAAGGAAAAGATAGCTAATATTTTGGTATGTTAAATATAAAGTTTTATTTTTTTAAAAGTTAATTTTAAGCATAAAAATTTAACAATTAAAATGTTTATAAAATACAGCAAGAAGTGGAGCAGCTATCAGATGTTGAGAAGTTACTGTTATATCTGCAATTGCCCACAGGTGTCCCAGTTGATGATGTGCTAAAACAGTGAGTAAAAACTGCTTTATATATTATATACATAATTGTGAGAAGCCAGGGGTTAAGGGGGGTTCCCTATAGACCACTTAATTGGCAACAAGTTGGTTAAACCTGCTCACTTTGTCATCAGATGGCTTGAAATAGGAGGGTCTTAAAAATTAAATATAGGACACTTCTGTGTTGCGGCATTATTGACAGCAATTCATTAAATTTCAGATATGCTCGCTAGTACTTTCAACAGTTTACAACCGTCCTCTTCATGCGAAATTGAATACCTTTGTTTTCGAATTGACAGCTTTTAACGGACTTTTCAAATTACGTAATGCACATGGTTGGAATATAGAACAAATTAATAAAAATTGAATAAATAACTACAGTGGGTGATCGGTTAACGAACAGATCGCATAACAAACAAATCGGATAACGAACACTTTCGCGAAAGATTTTTATGTTCGGACAACGAACACATGATCGGATAACGAACACCCCACAGAAGAAACACAAGAAGAAGCAACGTAAAATAATGAATACCGATTGGTCTTCCCTTGTCTTCGGGCAGCAATTCAAAACTTTTTGGAGTGTGGGAGACATCGATGCTCAAGCCGATATATACCGATCGGATATTATTCCTCTGAACTTTGAAACTCTTCCTTGTAATTTCAGCCTTTTATTTTTCTGACAAAACAATTATTTTATGTATTCGTGAGACTGTCGGGTAGGCACTCGTTACGTTTTGCGTCTGTTTTACTTTTCGAAAGGTGAGAGTATAATAGCAAAGGTAGAGAGTGGGCAGAAGATGCCTAATGTTGCTGGGCAGTATGGCGTAAACAGGTCTATAGTAGGCTGAAGTTCAATCTTATTTAAGAAACATACTGTATAATCAAGAAGACTCAAGCAGCTAAAGGAGTAACAAAAATCGCATCTGAGAAATAAAGAATATCGAACAGTTCATNTTTTTTATTATTTTTTAAATTTTTATCCACTGCTTGTTGCTTTCTTTCCTTCATTTCTATCAGCACTTTCACTGGATAGAGGTCACTTGGTAAAATATCTATCCAAAGAGGTTTGGCTTTGCCTACTTTTTAAAATGTTTCTAAAATGACTTAGGCAAATGTCATTACTCCGAGCAGCAATACGGCCATTGTGAACCTTTTCGCGGTGTTTCTTTTCAATAAAATCAGTCACTTTCTGATAATACCTCAAGATTTCCTTTATCGAGTGAGATCCTTCCACAACGAAGCAAACACGCGGACTGAGACCAACGAACAGAAGTGAATAAAAAATGGCGCTGCGAACTAATGTAACATCGTATGGTGAGTTTTTGTTCATATCGTGGAGCAAAAATATGTTCGAATTTCGTGTCGTTTCCTGAAAATTTCGTATGCTGGGGCATTCATATCCTGAGGTACTACTGTATTTATAAACAGGGCTAACTGGAGAAAAAGCAGGGCTTGGTGTAAAGTTGTTGTGCAGGGCCTTTTAATATTAAAAAAAAGAAGTTTCAAACAACAAAATAATATATTAATAAGGGATGTGGAGTCGGAGTCATGGAATTTTGGTGTTTTAGCCGGAGTCAGAGTCATCAAAAAATCCACTGACTCCGACTCCCTTTTACTTACCAACTTGTTATGTATATGAAACGGAGTCGGATAGTAACGGAAGAGTTGGAGTTGGAGTCGGTAGATTTTTACGCGACTCCACAGCCCTGATTTTAATGGTAAACATACCATCTGTTAAATAGACTAGTGAAAATTAGTGAATAATGAAAAGATCAATTTTTAAATTTTGCAAGAGTTGGATCATGCAGGATTACAGAGCTTTGTGCAGTCGCACTGTTTGCATTTCCCTCCTGGTGACCCTTGTTATAAGTTCTGCAGACATGTCATTTTTTTCAATGAGCCATTAAACTGAGGTACTGTATGATTCCATTGGTTTAGAATGAAAAAAGATCCATGCCATACAAACTTTAGAAAAGAGGCTGGTCTTGCAAAATTATTCAGTAAGATGTCATCACTTAAAGATTAATTAAGATTCAAAAGCCTTAGAAAAATAGGGAAAATTAGTCAGTTTAGCATGAAATTGTTCTCTAATATTTTAGTTTATTGATAAAACGTTTTAGACTCTAAAAGTATTACCTCAGCAATGGTTTGGAAAAAAACACCAATTTTAATATTACTACAGTAAATTCTCCCTCCCAGGTAAATTTGTTTTGGTTTTAATTTTTTGTTTTTAATTTCATATATATATATATATATATATATAATATCACAAGCCAAGTACTAAATATGCCTTTTAAGTGTTAATATTAAACTAAAAATATATTTTCTTTGCAACTTTACTCAGCACCAGTTTTTAAATAATTGTCAAGAGCCAACAAGGTATTTAGACCCAAAATTCATACTAAAACAATAGTTTAAAGTGATTAATTTTGCCATGTTCTTTTAAACACACATCCTATTTGATAAGTCCTACATTTGTTGAGTTGTGAGATTTAAGAAGTACAACAATTGAATAGGACAAGAAGCTTCCATCATATAATGATGGAAGCTTCTTGTCCTATTTTAATTTTAATGTCTAATTTTAATTTATAAAATTAAAATTATTACTTTCATTTCAGAGAATTAACAATAATTTTTAGGTATTCACTACAATGGGTAAACGGATAAAAACTTAGGTTGAACACTTCTCCTGGTGGAAAGAATGAGTACTACTGTAGACACAGCATATCTACAGAATTTTTCTCATATGACAAGGCTGTTTTATTCTGTGGGCTATGATTAGACATATTTTAACCTGTACTTTATATATAAATATACACTTGAGAACCCTTGTGTAACTCCAATATATCATGTGCATAGAAATGGTCTAACATTTTTGATCCCTCTCTTTTCAGATCTTCTTCAGGTTTCATTTTTTCTTGGAAGATTATGAATCCAAAGCAAATGCATTCACAAGTTCCAAATGTGTCAAAATTATACAGCAACTCCAATCTGTAGAGAGTTTATGATACTTTATATCTCTTCTTTTTTCCATTGATTAGGACTTAGAGTATTTTTTTTTTTTTTTTAGGAGAAATGATACATTTTGTATAATTTTGCATACATAATAAATTTGTAGATGATTGAAACCTCCTTGTAATGTAAACCTGTATAATCTTTTGAAGAATTATATTATAGTGAACCTTAATATTTTTATGGCTTGATTAGTGTTACCACTCATCCAATTTTCACCCGGACAGTCCGGGAATTGACTCACTGTCTGGGTGAACTATTAATTTTGTCCAGGAATTTCAGAGAAATCATGAAATTATGATGAAACAAAGTTTTTGCAAATATTTTTACAAATTTACACTATTTTAACAGCGAAAGAACTCGCATTCACTGAAACTCATCTGCAATTCTGCCATGTTAGTCTGTCTACGCCAACGTGTGGCGCACAACCTGTTGACCTTTTTTTTTTCTTTTGCATGTATGATTGTACACGTCTCCAATATCCAATAGAGCTAAGTCATCTGTACCTGTTTTTTCTTAATTTAGAGTTACTTACATTACTCCTACACAAGTCCCTAGTCCCTAACTGTAACTGATTTAGAACCGGCATGCACATTATTCTTTGCATTGTAAAATGACATTGTGCATGCATCTAGAGCTTCTTTCGAACAAACCTGACCTGCCGTCTGGGTTAACGATTATGAAAAGGTGGCAACAGCAGGCTTGATAAATAATATTGATTTCATGTTGAATTATTTAATTTAAAAATAATTATTTTTAAGTTAACAATTAGTATTTTGATATTTGTCAATTTATCATAGTAAAACATTTGTTAGAGATGACCAGTAACAAATAGGTTTTTTAAATAACTGTTTAGCAGTTTTAATTTCATAAAAACTTGCAACACAGCAAGTAAAAAAGGAAGGAGAAAATTTACATGTCTTGTAGTATACATTTTTCTATCTTAGATACAATAATTTTCATGAAATTATGTTAATTACAATAAGTGAATTGTATTATTTGAATATTATCATATAAATGTTAATTATCTAGATATATTTCATTATATAATTTTTCCACTGATTTTATTTTGCACAGAATTTTTAATGTTTATATATAGACAAGAAAAAATCATACTTAAATATAAATTGCAATATTTAAAGCATAAAATTACAACAGCATTCTTTTCTTTTCTCCAATCTTAACATTAATATAAATTCTGCTTGAAGTAGCTTACCATATTTTTTACCTTGTAAGACATGTCAGTATATTGGATTATCATTTTTTGTGTTGATTTTTTGGGGAAAAATATTCTTTACAGTATAAAATTTATTCAGCTTATAGAATGAATTCTACTTTTCAGATAAATTTTTGATACAACAAATAAAATGACAAAACCATCCTTGGGATGAGACTGTCTCAGAGAGCACAAGCAATACATGCACAAATCTACCTACCTACAAGTCTGGTTTATTTTATGTGTGCATGATTTTGGCACCAAATACTCTGTGCCAAATTGCAACTCCTGACATGTACTCCTTCATACCTCTAAGGTGTGCAAACATTGACAACAGCGCGATTTTAGAGACGAGACATAGTCTTGTCAAAAAAGTGCAGTTTATAAGGCAAAAATACCAGTAAATTCCAGAATATAATAATTTAATATTTTCTCTGTTTTCTATAAATTGTTTGATTATGTATAGTCGACCCCCATAACACTGTTGATAATTCCGTTTTATATGAATTCCATGTTGTACAAGTCACTTAGATTTTACAAATACGTGAGCCATTCACAGCCTGCCACACGTATTTGTAAAATCCACAAGCAAATTTGAGATAACACACCTGCTTACTTGAATAAACAAAAATATCTAATAAAGAAGTTTCCACTTAAAAATTGTGAAATTTTTGTATGGAGGATTTCCAAAACCTTGTTAGAATGAAACCGGAAGTCATATTGTATGGGGGATATCTTCAGTTTTCAAACTGTGTTAGACCAAAACCATGTTGTACTGTGTT